CCTCATCCGGGCGACCGAGCTCAAGCTCCGGGTGCCCTGGGGCCTCAGCGATGCGGTGCTGGGGTGGGGGCGTCTGGAGTCTGCGGCGACGCGGCGCAGCTGCCTCCCTGCAGCTCGCGGGGCCAGGCGCAGATTTAGAGCTTCTCTTTTATCCGCGCAGGGGGAAACGGGTCCCAGTGTCGGGAGGGAGCTGGCCCTGTAGGCGTCGTGCACCACTGTCACCTAGGGAACTTGGGAAAGCCTGGCTAGATGTGGCTCAGTGGGTGACTCCGGACAGTACGAGAGCACCTTCCCCCGCCATATTTATTCACGAGCCTTCCGCACCGGCTGTTTCCCTGAGTAGCTGAGCCTTTGAGGAACTCACGTGTTTCTGGGTGTCTTTTTAATATTATCACCGCTTACTGCGTTCTGTCCAAAAGCTAGGCGATTTTCATATTGTCAAAAGGTGTGTTACTACTTAGCGCGGTGGACTTATAGTGGGAAGAGGAACTGCTTGGTGGTTTTCTGGTGGGTACTGTCTGGTCCCTGGATGTCTGCAGAGATGCAGCAGTCAGTATTCTGTTGGGTTTCTGACAGCGCCACTGTGCGTAGCCGGAATTTCCACACACACCTGCAAGTTAAGTGGGAAGTAAGGGTAGAGAGTTATATGTGTTGGATTTTTCTAGAACGGTTGTTGAAGGCACGAGCGTTCTGGTGGCAGGGACCCTTCATAGCTCTGTCTCCCTGGAGACCAGCTCCCCTGTGATATTGCCACGATTTGAATGAAATGTTGGTTTCTTCCCTAGGGAGTTTGTCCACTGGAAACTACACCTGTGAGGGATGCTGGCGTCTTGGGTAAGTTGACGCTTTGGTACTGGAACAGGTTTGCTCACTGCTCAATACAACCATCCCCTTCTCTGTGACATTCTAAGTGACTGGGGACTGATTGGCTCTGCCTTAACAGGGTAATGAGAAGTTCCCTCTACAGGGGAATAAAAATGTAAATTATTCCATCTTCAACAGCAGCTTCCCCTAGAGGTGTTGCAGGTGTGGCTGCTGTGCCACATTTGTGTCATTAGGGGGCAGAGAGAAAGAGGCTATGTCTACGCTCGGTGTTCTACCCTGTGAACACTCGAATGATTATTAGTCTGACACGTGGGCAGTGTCCTAGCGCAGGGGTTTGTGCTGCTCCCCTAGCTCTGGTTCTGTGGCCTTCCAGTGTGTCTGTGCTCACCAGTAGCTCTGTGAAAAGTGTAGTGTGATGGGTGCAGAAATCTGGAGTGGGCCTCCTGACAGGCATGGTGACCATCCCAGTTTATCCAGCACCTCTCAGTCCTCACTTTCTAACCCTCACTTCTGACCATTTGATGTCTGAAAAGTGGCAGTGGGGAGGTAGAGGATGCCCTTAGGGGCAGCAACTTTGGTTGATTTTAGTTTTAAAAACTAGCAATAGGAAGAATAAAGGGTAATATTTGCTGGCTGATTCCTACTGGCACCTTGTTGAAGGGGTGATGTTTCAGAATCACCTTGGAACGTCTGGCACTAGGGGAGGTTTGCTGGTGCTTGGTTCAATTAGTGACAGCCAGCTTGTGTTGTGCTCTCACGTCTGGGCCAAGTGTTCTCATTATTTAATACAGGTGGGACAGTGACTGTTAACCTCTGAGGATCAGCGTACGTTGGGAGCATTGGCCAGAGCGATTGGGCCAGCGTGGCCTCAGCCACACCTTGGTAAGGAGACAACGCCTCAGCCCTCTGAATCTCCCGCCACTCTGGCTACCCTACAAATGCTGTACTGGACCTGCCAGCACCGCAGGTGTGGCTGTGCCTGTGACAACAGGGCACAGAGAAAGTAGCTATTTCTATGCTCAGTGTTCAGAATCCTGTGAGCCCTAAGAATGGTTTATAGCCTGACATTTCTCAACCATAGTAAGGTAGCATTTAGTTTTGGTGTTTTTTTTGTTTGTTTGTTTTGTTTTTTTGATTTTTAGAGACAGAGTTTCACTTTATTGCCCTGGGTAGAGTGCCATGGCGTCACACAGCTCTCACAGCAACCTCCAACTCCTGGGCTTAGGCGATTATTTTGCCTCAGCCTCCCAAGTAGCTGAGACTATGGGCACCTGGGTTTTTATTTTTTGTGGGTTTTTTTTTTTTTTTTTTTTTGAGACAGAGCCTCAAGCTGTTGCCCTGGATAGAGTGCCGTGGCATCACAGCTCACAGAAATCTCAACTCCTAGGCTCAAGCGATTCACCTGTCTCTGCCTCCCAAGTAGTTGGGATTATGGGTACCTGCCACAACGGCTGGCTATTTTTTGGTTGCAGCCATCATTGTTTGGCCGGCCCAGACTGGATTCAAACCTGCCAGCTCAGGTATATGTGACTGGCACTGTAGCTGCTTAAGCCACAGGCGCTGAGTCCTAGCTATTTTTTGTTGCAGTTGTCATTGTTGTTCAGCAGGCCCGCGCCAGGTTTGAACCCGCCAGCCCTGGTGTATGTGGCCAGCACCCTACCCACTTAGCTTCAGGTGCAAAGCCATAGCTTTTAGTTATGCTTTGGCATGACTCCACCTCTGGCTCCGAATGGTGTGTGCAGTGGCCACAGTGCTGTACTTTCAGGTGTTGCTGGAAACCCAGGCAGGAGACTGCACTTGGTTTCAGCTTCTTCATCTACAAAGTGGGCCTGTTAGGATTAAATGTGATGGTGTATCTAAAGCTCCTGGCCCAGAGTGAGTTCTTGGTACAGAGAGATTAACCAGTAGGATCTCCCCTCAGCCTTCTGTAGATCTGTCTTAGGAGGACTTAGGCAAGTGTGACCAAGGACTCTGGGGTAGTATAAGCTGCCTGTGTCCTGGCCACCACTGACACTCCCTGGGTGGAGCTTCGGGAGATGCTTCACACTAGTGAGGTAAGGAGACTTGAGAGAAGTGGGATGAGAGGATGAGGGGTAGACAACTGGACCAGCGTGGAACAGGGGGATGTCAGAGGATGGCCTTGTTCATTCTCTTGGTGGCGCCAATGTCAGGGCCCTATGGGGCTCATGAAGATTTTCAACCAGGGTGAATTGTGTGCCCCTCCCAGGGCTCATGACAGTGTCTATCTTCATAAGAATGGGAGAAATAGGAGTTGCTGCTATGCACAGAGGCCAAGGACACTGTGGCATGTTGTACTATGCATTGCGGGCAGCACAGCAAAGAATTACAAGGCCCTGATGCCAGGAGTACTTGTGTCAGCACCTTGCTGTAGCATCACACCTGAAGAGGAAAAATGTAACTTTAATAAAGGCAGTTTTAAGAATTCACATAACAAATTTTGTGGAGGTGGTTCAGTGACTCCAGGTTAGGGGAAGAAGCCTGGTTTGTTTCACCACCCTTGTTTATTTTTCAGATCTGGAAGCCAGAAAGGATGTCAGCAGAGGCACACCTAAGACTCACCCTTCCGGACATGTTGCACCCCAAGTGTTGCAACCCAGCAGGCTGTCCCCAGCGATCTGCCTGCCCCGAAGGCTCTGCAGCTGCAATGTGTGCTTTGCTTTTATTCCAAAGATGGCCAGGCTGATGCAGGTCTGCCCACTGCCTGTGACCTCAGCCTTTCCTTTCCACTTTGTGGTGCCATGTGCACCAGCTGCCCAGCTGGACCACAGCTCCTGGCGCATCTGCCAGGACCACCCCACACAGACTTCATATTACCTTGATGACATCCTCTAAAGTCTCACTTTGGTTGCTTGAGGCCAGGAGTTTGGGACCAGCCTGAGCAACATAGTGAGACTCCATCTTTCCAGAAAGTTTAGTATTAGTTAGATATAGTGGCTTTACCTATGTAGTCCACTTCTTTGGGAAGCTGAGGCAGGAGGATCACTTGAGCCCAAATGTTTTGGGTTATTGAGAGCTGTGATGATGCCACTGTACCCTACCCTGGGTGACAACAGAAAAAAGGATTAGCATTAGGGATGTAGGCACTGCATTTGAAATTTCAAGCAAGAGTTGTTATGGAAGGATTTGGGGCACTTCAAGGATAGTATTTCTGTGTTGGCGAAACTTGAGAATAAATTGATCTTGAATTGAGTGGAGTGTATCTTGATTTGAACTTTCCCCTGGGTAACATGCTGAGTCTCATGAGCAGAGTATGGACCAGAATGCTCTGTTCAGCTGCAGCACTCCTCCCACCAGGGTACCCTGTAGGGAGTGAGTGCTGGGTGCAGGGCCTCTGGATTTGTGGGGTGGGTCAGGGATAAGCTGCTATGGTGGTGCACCGTCACTTGGCTGTCTCCTAGAGAAGTTTTTTTGTTATGTTTTTTTTTTTGAGACAGAGCCTCAAGCTTTCACCCCAGGTTGAGTGCTCTGGTGTCAGCTCACAGCAACCTCCAAATCCTGGGCTTAAGCTATTCTCTTGCCTCAGCCTCCTGGGTAGCTGCAACTACAGGCACCTGCCACAATGCCCAGCTGTTTTTTGTTGTAGTTGTCATTGTTCTTTAGCAGGCCCGGGCTGGGTTTGAACCCGCCAGCTTTGGTGTATGTGGCTCCCTACCCATTGTGCTATGGGCGCTGAGCCTCCTAGAGAAGTTTTAAAACTAACATCTAATTTTGGCTGGGGCTGGATTTGAACCTGCAGCCTCTGGCCTATGGGACTGGTGCCTTACCCTTTTGAGCCACAGGCACCACCTAATGTTTAATTTTGTGAAAATTTTTTTTAATATTTTTTGAGGTTTTTATTTTGTATTTTTCTTTTGTTTAGCACAGTGGTTCTCAACCTTCCTGATGCTGCGACCCTTTAATACAGTTCCTGTGAGTCACAACCCACAGGTTGAGAGGCCTGGGCTGGGTTGGAACTCACCAGCACTGGAGCATGTGGCTGGTGCTATAACCACTGAGGTACAGGCTCCCCCCTGTGAAACTGGTTTTATTTTATTTATTTATTTTTTTGAGACAGAGCCCTTAAGCTGTTGCCCTTGGTAGAGTACTATGGCGTTGCAGCTCACAGCAACCTCCAACTCCTGGGCTTAAGTGATTCTCTTGCCTCAGCCTCCCGAGTAGCTGGGACGACAGGCACCGGCCACAAAGTCTGGCTTTTGTTGTTGTAGTTGTCATTTGGCAGGCCATGGCTGGATTTGAATCTACCAGTTTTGTTGTATCTGGCTGGTGCCTTAGCCACTTGAGCTACAGGTACCAACCTGTGAAATTGGTTTTAAAAAGACTGAAGATCCAGTCTGGAAAATTGGTGGGTTTTTTTTTTTTTCCTGTGAGACAGAGTCTCACTATAGAATGCTGTGGCGTCACAGCTCACAGGAAACTCAAACTCTTGGGCTTAAGCGATTCTCTTGCCTCAGCCTCCCAGGTAGCTGGGACTACAGGCGCCTGCCACAATGCCCAACTATTTTTTGTTGCAGTTGTCATTGTTTAGCTGACCTGGGCCAGGTTTGAGCCTGGCTCCCTTGGTGTATGTGGCTGGCTGGCACTGTAGCCACTGTGCTACAGGCGCTGAGCCCATCTCCTGGAAGTCCTTCATGGAGGTGCCCCAGTTGAGCTTGTCAAACAGCACCAGCTCCTGCCGGGGGACTCATTGTTCACTTGATGGTCACATCCTTGTTCTGCCAGAGCCCACTATACACCTGGAGGGTCCTCTGTGAGATGTGCCCCTCCCATGGCAGGGGTGTGCCCCCCCCCCACCTGTGGGCTCACCTGCTGGCTAGGGGCTGAAGACAGGCAGGTCCTCCATTCCACCTTGTGCAGCTCGCACAGGTCCTGGCAGATGGAGCCGGAGATGATGCCCTTGCGGTACTGGTCACACTGAGGAGACAGCGCAGGGTGTGGTGGGGGCAGGGGCTGAGTGAGCCCCACACCCCATCTTATACCCGCCTACTGGCA